CAGCCCCCCGTGCCAGGCGAGCGCGCTGGGGCGCAGGGCTTCCAGCAGCCCTGCCAGCTCGTCCGCCTCCACGCTGTCCTGGGCATGGAGCCGGCACGCCCGGCAGGGGAACGGAAGAGAGCGGGACGATGACTGAGGGCAGCCCACCGACCCCAACGATCCAGCGCATGGAACAAAAATCAAGACGGAAGCTTTTCGCTACTTTCGGCCTCTCGCGGCCCTCGCCGGGCCACGGGACCGAAAAGAAACGACCCAGGATGGAAGACCGGGCCTGGGGGATGGGCCGAGATTTCCGGAGACCCCGTAGTGAAAAAATCACGACATCGGCTCTCTGGGGTACGACATCCGCCGCTGGGCGGGCGCCGCCTCTGCCTCACGCGCGTCGTCGGCGAGCCATCGGCAGCGAGCGCGGTGCACAATGGACAGGAGGTTATGTGTCGGTCCTCGTCGCCGCTCTTCCAGAACACTCCGAAGCTTAGCACAGTGAAGGCGGGGAGGTCTGATTAATCCGAGCTGTCTTGGAGGGTGCGGGGAAGCTCTGGGCTGGGGGAAGCTGACATTTTTCGCCTGGGAGGTTTGTGACCCCCCCTAACGTGGTGGATGCCATGACCATGAACACTCCAACAGCACTATCATTGGATGTCAAATGTGCATGTAATGTTTGATAAATGCATAAAGCATGTTCCGCACCCTGGCCTGGAGCAGGGCTTCTGAGTGGATGTGAACTGAAGTTTTTTTGAAATTAGGTCGGTGACCTTGTGACCCGGTGACCCAGTGTCCCGGTGACCCCGTGACCCGGTGACCCGGTGACCCAGTGACCCGGTGGTGACCCGGTGACCCAACGACCCGGTGACCCGGTGACTCGTGACCCGGTGACCCTGTGACCTGGTGACCCGGTGATCCAGTGACCCGGTGAGACCCTGTGACCCGGTGACTCGTGACCCGGTGACCCTGTGACTTCCCGGTGACCCGGTGACTCGGTGACCGAGTGACCCGGTGACCCGGTGACCTAGAAACATAGTGACCTGGTGACCCGGTGACCCCGTGACCCCGTGACCCGGTGACCAGCTGACCATGGTGACCCGGTGAGCCAGTGACCCAGTGACCCGGTGACCCGGTGATTCGAATTAACCCAGTGATCCAGTAACCCGTTGAACAGGCGGCGTGGGCCAGCTGACTCGGTGAACCCGGTGACCCGGTGACACGGCATCGTGAGACTTGCCCCGGTGACCCCGTGACCCGGTGACCCGGCGGTATGGGTCAATTGACCCGGTGACCGGGTGACCTGGTGACCTGGCGGCGTGGGTCATGACCCGGTGACCCGGTGACAGGGCATGTGGGTCAATTGGCCTGGTGACCTGGTGCCCCAGTGACCCAGCAGCACGCGTGAGTCAATTGAACCAGTGACCCGGTGACATGGATGCGTGGGTCAAAAGAAACGGTGACCCCGTGACCCCGTGACCCGGTGACTCGGTGCCCCGGTCACCTGGTTTACCAGGTGACCCAGTGACCCGGTGACCCCATAATCCCGTGACCCTGTGACTATGTGACCCGGTGGCCCAGAGACCCTGTGACCCGGTGACCTGGTGACTGAAAGACCCGGTGACCCAATGACCCGGTGACCCGGTGACCCGGTGACCCCGTGACCGGGTGACCCAATGACTCAGTGACCTGGTGACTCAGTAACCCGGTGACCTGGTGACTCGATGAACCAAATGACCCCGTGACACAGTGACTCGGTGACCCGGTGACCTGGTGACCCGGTGACCCAATATACCGTGGGTCAAATGACCCCGGGACCCGGTGACCCAGTGACCCGGTGACCCGATGACCCGGCGGCGTGGGTCAGTTGACCTGGTGACCCGGTGGCGTCGTGGGTCAGTTGACCCGGTGACCCGGTGACCCAGCGGTGTGGGTCAATTGACCCAATGACCCAATGGGTCAGTTGACCCGCGGGTGACCCAGTGACCCGGCGGTGTGGGTCAGGTGATCCGGTGACCCTGTGACCCGGCGGCGTGGGTCAGTTGACCCAGTGACACGGTGACTCGGTGACCCAGCGGTGGAGGTCCATTGACCTGGTGACCTGGTGACACGGCGGCGTGGGTCAGGTGACCCGGTGACCCCGGTGTGACCCGGTGACTCGGCGGTGTGGCGGTGTGGGTCAGGTCACCCGGTGACCCGGTGACCTGGCGGCCGGCGGCGCCACATCGCACGCCATCTTTGCAGCGCCAGCCGCAAGTACGCCATTCGGAGTGCCCCTCGCGAGCCTCTCCAGGGAAGTGGCCGCGCGCGCAGCCCGCAGGGGCACAGAGAGCGGGCGCCCCCCCCCCCCGACGACGAGGCAGAAGGCACCTGCATGCACACCACCACCGTGCCCTGGCTGGGACCCGGGGCGCGGCCCTGGCTGGCCCCGCGGGTGGGGGGGGGTGGGGGACGGAGCAGAACTGCCCTCCTGCGGATCCCCCGCCTCCCCCTCCCCCTCCCCCTCCCCCATTCCCCCCCCTCCCCCCCCCTCCCCCTCCTCCTCCTGCTCCTCCTCCTGTTCCTCCTTCGCTGGCTCCTCCTCCTCCTCCTCCTCCTCCTCCTCCTCCTCCTCCTCCTCCTCCTCCCTCTTCCTCCTCCTCCGCCTCCTCTCCTCCTCCGCCCCGCTCCGAACCACCCACAACCCACAACACCACCACCCCTCCGCCTCCGCCTCCGCCTCCGCCTCCGCCTCCGCCTCCGCCTCCGCCTCCGCCTCCGCCTCCGCGAGCAGAACTGCCTCCTGCGGATCCCCCGCCCACCGCGCGCGCGCAGGGAGGGTAGAGGCCTCCCTGATGGGGTCGGAGTAGATGGGGTCGGAGGATCGCGCCGCATCGCCATGAAGCAAATCGGGCTCCATATCGAGCTGCATCGCCGATGCATCGACGGTGCGGCACGATCCTTGGACCCCATCTACGCTAGCCCCATCGGCGATGCGGCGCGATCATTGGACTCCATCTCGAGCCGCATCGGCGATGCGGCGCCAGGAGGCCTACAGAGGGGGGGGCCAGGAGGGAGGAGAGGGGGGAACGAACGAACAAACGATCACCGCTGCGGACAAGCGTCCAGGCCCAGCTCGGACCAAGTGGGTGAGGCCGTGGCCTCTGGGTTCCTGGCGTGTCTGGACACAGGCGATGCGAGAGGGAGGAGGCAGAGGGTGGGAGGGAAAGCTGGTGCGCGCGCGCCGTATCTAGCATCATGCCTCTCCCTTCCATCAATTCCCGTTGCGCTGACGTGTCCAAATCCGCCGACGGATGTCCTAGCGCACATGGATCCCAAAAATGACCCCAACGTGTGATGCGCAATGAGGTAAGGGAGCTGTGCACATTGGAGGAGGAGGTGGCGGATGACAAGGAGGATGAGCAGGAGGATGAGGACGAGGAGGAAGAAGGAATTCTGCTCATCCTCATCCGCATCCTCGTCCTCCTCTTCATCCTCGTCCTCGTCGTACCCCAGTGATCCGATGTCGTGAATTTTTTCACTACGGGGTCCCCGGAAATCTCGGCCCATCCCCCAGGACCGGTTCTTCGTACTGGGCCGTTTTTGCGACGGTCCCGTGGCCCGGCGAGGGCCGCGAGAGGCCAAAAATAGAGAACAGCCTCCGTCCTGTTTTTTGTTCCATGCGCTGGATCGTTGGACCTCCGGGCCATCCTCACCCTCCTCTCCATCCTCGCCCTCGTCC